CGCGTGGATTTCCAGCGCGTGGAGTTCCAACGCGTGGAATTTCAGCGCGTGGAGTTCCAGCGTGTGGAGTTCCAGCGCGTGGAATTACAACGCGTGGAATTACAGCGCGTGGGTTTCCAGCGCGTGGAGTTCCAGCGCATGAAATTACAACGCGTAGAAATCACGACGTGTAGAAATTAAGGAGCGTGGAATTACAGGGCGTAGAGTGACAACCCATAAAACTACGCTACGCCTCATTACTCCCCGTTGAATTACGACACATGGAATTACCGCGCGTTGAATTACAAAGCACCGAACTACATCGCATCAACTCCCTTTGCATTTCACTTTACATTTCACCATCTCTGTACACAACAAAAGTAGTAGAAAAATGGAAGAAGTCCCATAACTACCCAACTTATTATAAATGTTTGTCCAAAGTTCACTAAGATGTACAGCAGCAGCAAAGTATCAAGTGTCCGTGTAAATAGCGCGAAACTGAGCAGAACAAATGTTTGTTACAACTTTAATCGTCCAGCACGAGAATTGCTTACGCGCCGTAGGAAATTACGATGCACACATCAGACGTCTGCTTACAAATATCGTTCTAAGAATATTCGTCGTCTATCAAACGGTCGCGCACGTGCTGTAACACTCGATCGTTATAATTAGAGCACTACTCGTGTGCATACATCGATAGTTGGCCCCTAAATCGCAACAGAAGCAACAGGTCCGTTGTAGAGGCTCTTAAACGCGATTGACGAAAACTTGTAATTCTAAAAATAATAACGTACTTTCTTTGTGGACTATAATCCGAGACACGATGTTGCCTCGAGGTGTTGATCGAGAATTTTATGATCTAATCCTTGTCGATACGGAGCGGGTGCAATAATAATAACGTAGACTGGTATTGCTTCGAGCAACAAGTTCCCTTGACGGGATCTTGTAAAATGAAAAAGGAAGGCGGGTTAAGCTGCATTGGAAAGTTCGAACCTTCAAACGGCATTGTATAGGTACTTACGGAAATTAGACTATCAATTTTTAAACGGGACTTGTGAACACTGTGACACGTGGGTATTAGCGAACTTTTTCAAATCGATATCAGGGAGGTTGGATACATTGTGAGATTAGTGAAGTTAGCTTCGAATTTGTTTAAACATGAGTACCTTACAATTTTTCTACTTTTGTAAGGATATAAATTTTGGTCCTTAAAGTTATTTTCATCCTTTAAAGTTATTAGACTAATTCAGTTAATCTTGCAGTATGAATTAAAATGTTCTATATTTATTTGAAGAATATTTGCAATTGATAGTTGTTCTAGAAAGCACCTTTCGATTAATAAAGATTTGTGGGATCATCAACCTTGCACCAATTCGCGTGTTGTTCTTCGATTTGCAGAGATGAGACACCTGGTCCGAAAGCAGAGCACGATAGACGTTCATTCGGTTAAAGTCAGCCTGAAAGATATCGTGTGCTATCTCTCGTTGCTGGAAGCTGGTAGACCTGAAGATAAACTTGAGTGTGAGTATTTTCTTTCTCGGATCGATCGTGGCTAATTAAAGGTTGCGAGTATTTTCGTTCTCTCGAATATCATGAAAATCGGATTAATCTTCTTCGCTTTTCTCCTCATTAATAAAATAATTCGATAAGTATTTAAGTGGCCATTAATATTAACGACTTTGGAAGTTGTACAGATTACTCGATTTACGCTTTGCAGATTTTCATGTATAAATACTGATCTTGATATATGTATGTCCATCTTTATATTTAAATATTGATTTTAATATATAAATGCTAATTTTGATATATGGATGTGGACCTTGATATATAAATAAAGATCTTGATACATATGTAGACCTTCATACATACATGTAGACCTTGATACACATATGTAAACTTTGGTACATACATGTAAATCTTGATACACATATGTAGAGCTTGGTACACACATGTAGACCTTGATACACATATGTAGATCTTGATACACATGTGTAGAGCTTGGTACACATGTGTAGACCTTGATTCACATATGTAGATCTTGATACATACATGTAAATCTTGGTACACACATGTAGACCTTGATACACATATGTAGACCTTCATACACACATGTAGACCTTGGTACATACATGTAAATCTTGATACACATATGTAGAGCTTGGTACGCACATGTAAATCTTGATACACACATGTAAACCTTAACACACACACATGTGAACCTTGATACACACATGTAGACCTTGATACACACATGTAGACCTTGACACACACGTGTGAACCTTGATACACACATGTAGACCTTGATACACATTCGTAAACCTTGGTACACACATGTAGACCTTGATACACACATGTGGACCTTAATACACACATGTAGACCTTGATACACACATATGAACCTTAATACACACATATAATCCTTGATACACAAATGTACACCTTGATACACATACGTAAACCTTGATACACACATGTAGACCTTAATACACGCACCTTGACATACACATGCGATACATACAAAGAAATATTGATTCCATGATATGTGAAGAGTCAAAAGTCCTTTGATAAATAATTTCCTACCACAGTTCCATTTGCTCACCATTTTGCTAACTCGATAAACGACATTTGACGTTTTCATAGTGTCTGTTGAGAGTAATCGTAATTACGAAAGCATTTCGAGCTCCTTGAGCATTTTAGATTCGCGTGTCCAACATCATTCTCAACGATCCGCTTTCTCAAGCTGCTCCCTGCTGCAAATCTACTGCAACTTGTTGCACGCCAATTTCGACGCGCATTAATTCATTTGCCTTCGTTTCTTTCCAGTCATGTTTCGGCTGTACGATACGGATGGAAACGGTGTTCTTGATACCAACGTGAGTAAAAACGAGCAGCTTGAAGGCGCGTCTTTTTTTTTAGGCAAACTCTTTTTAATCGTTCAGTGGGGTAAAATCGGGGTGACGGTGAAATTGAATGCTAAATTAAATGTAATTCGAGGAACCGCTCGATCAGTGAGTGTGAAAGGTCGCAGGATTTCATGAAACCTATGATCGTTTTGGATCTCGATTTTTATCCTCGAATTAGTAAATTATTTTGTAATATTCGATTGATACATTTGAAGGATTAAAAAATAACAGGAGTAATTTATTATTGCCTTTTCTTTTATAAAGAGTTCCTATGGCATGGTAATTATGGATAGTTTTCAATCAAAAAGATAATTGAAAATTAAACACGTTTAGCAATAGAGTTTGCGAGTGTGTCAATGATAGGAAATAGATCGATTTCAATATGTCTTGCGTATTGTGCCTCGCATCTAATGCCATTATCACGTGTCCGTAGGAGATGGACTGCATTGTCAATCAGATGATGAATGTCGCTGAATATCTCGGCTGGGATGTCACGGAATTGAAACCGGTGAGTTTGAATACCGTTCACTTCTGGTTGGCTTCAAATTTAGAAAATTGAGGTGTTGGAAAGTTGGAAATTTAGAAATTTGGGGATTTGGGGATTTAGGGATTTGGGAATTTGGAGATTTGGGAATTTGGGGGAGTGAGAATTTGGGGTGCAAGAATTTGGAAATTTGGAATTTGGAGGCGTAAGAATTTGGGGGTGTGAGAATTTGGGAGTGTGAGAATTTGGGGGCGTGAGAATTTGGGAGAGTGAGAATTTGGGGGCGTGAGAATTTGAAAATTTGAAATTTGGAGGCATTAGAATTTGGAAATTTGAAATTACGGTGCGTGGATTTCCAGCGCGTGGAGTTCCAGCGCGTGGAATTACCGCGCGTGGAGTTCCAGCGCGTGAAGTTCCAGCGCGTGGAGTTCCAGTGCGTGGAATTACCGCGCGTGGAGTTCCAGCGCGTGGAATTACCGCGCGTGGAGTTCCAGTGCGTGGAATTCCAGTGCGAGGAGTTCCAGTGCATCGAGTTCCAGCGTGTGGAGTTCCATCGCTGGATTTTAATCTAAAAATTTGTCAATTCCAAACCTTGAAAATTCCCTACCTAAAGTGCTCCCCCAGCTATAACCGAAACAATTTACCACTCCCCTATCGTAGCGATGTAACGAGAGCACTGTACACAAGCGGTATCATCTCGAGTTTGCTTACACAAGCAGAATATAGAGAAATTGATGAACGATATATTTATAGATACTGCAAGACATGATGATAGAAATAGACTACGACGCCGATGGCACGGTATCTTTGGAGGAATGGAAAAGGGGTGGTCTTACAACGATTCCGTTGCTGGTGCTTTTGGGCCTGGATTCCCACGTGAAAGAGGACGGCAACCATCTTTGGAGGCTAAAACACTTCAGTAAACCCGCCTACTGCAATCTCTGTTTGAACATGTTGGTCGGTCTCGGCAAGAAAGGTCTTTGTTGTGTCTGTAAGTATCGTCGAGCTCCTTGATACCGTGGTTTCGTTGTTTCCTTCTCTCTTTCTGTACGAAAAACATTTTCATAGAAGGTGCTGTTATTATCTTTTCATTAACATTCTTCGTTGAAAACGCAGCCAGTTTACTCGTCGATCCTCAGTGTTTATCAAACTAAACATCCTTTAAATTATTCCTTGTTTCTCTGTATTGCATTAACAGTAAATTCTTGCATTTAAGCGTTCTTGTTTTTTTATGCAGTTTGCAAGTACACGGTCCACGAGAGATGCGTTCAAAGAGCGCCAGCTTCTTGCATAGCCACCTACGTGAAGAGCAAGAAGACGTCACAGACGATGGTACACCACTGGGTCGAAGGCAATTGTCACGGCAAATGCTCGAAATGTAGAAAGACCATCAAAAGTTACAACGGTATCACCGGATTGCATTGCAGATGGTGTCAGATAACTGTAAGTCACCTTCCGACATTGATCGATGAAAACTCTCCTCATGTTTTTAGCACTAGAATACTTCTTTGCACGAATCTCTAGAATCTTTGTGGACTTTGCAGTTGCACAACAGATGCGTGTCGCAAGTGAGGGCAGAGTGCACACTTGGGGAACACGCGGTCCATATCCTCCCACCGACGGCCATTTGCCCTGTCGTTCTCGACAGACAACGATCGTTGTCCAGGGACAGTAAAAGGGGCAGCAAACATGGACAGGAATCGTCTACCGTCAGCACTGTAAGAAACTATGATTTACTGATTTAGGGACTTACTAATTTACTGATTTACTGATTTACTGAGTTACTAATTTACTGATTTACCAATCACTTTGATCTACAACCTTTACAACCATTGACAATTATACAAATTCTTTAAATAAATGTTTTACTGTCAACAGAGCGGGTTTCTGACGTCCGCAAGTGCCACCAGCCAGCAGCCAGCGATGTCCTTCCAAATTACACCGCCCCCCGACACAGTACCCCTCCTAGTGTTCATCAATCCAAAATCCGGTGGGAGGCAGGGAGAACGTATGTTAAGGAAGTTCCAGTACATCTTGAACCCACGTCAGGTCCATAATTTGGCAGTGGGTGGACCCATGCAGGGTCTGCAGATGTTCAAGGACGTGGAGAACTTCAAGGTGATATGCTGCGGCGGTGACGGTACCGTTGGATGGGTCCTCGAAACGATGGGTACGCTTAACAATTATTTTTAACGTTAATTTTGATATTGTAAAGTAGCTTTTACAATCTTTTTTGTTTATTGAACAGATCGTGTGCAGTTTGAACATCAACCCGCTGTCGGTGTCATACCTTTAGGCACAGGAAATGATCTAGCAAGGTGTTTGCGATGGGGCGGTGGTTACGAGGGCGAAGCCATTCACAAAGTCCTCAAAGTAAGCTCATTTATTATTATGAAATATTATTATGAATGTTAAATATGTGTTTGATATTGTAATATATGATTTATAGAAAATAGAGAAAGCGACAACTGTGATGATGGACCGCTGGCAGATTGAAGTACTCGATCAGAAGGACGAGAAGAAACCGAACCAAGACAGTATACCGTACAATATCATAAACAATTACTTCTCCGTGGGAGTGGACGCCGCCATTTGCGTAAAATTTCACATGGAGAGGGAGAAGAACCCGGAGAAGTTCAACAGCAGGATGAAGAACAAGCTTTGGTACTTCGAGTACGCGACCACAGAACAGTTTGCTGCTAGCTGTAAAAATCTTCATGAAGATCTCGAAATCATTGTACGTACTTGAGTGCAATGTTGTGGATAATCCTTTCACTACTTATCTTCCATTTTGGAGAATACGTAAATCTGAAGTTTTCGACTCATTTTCAAGTTTCTTAAATTTCTAAGGTTTCTTGGAACTTTTGCAAGTTACAAGATTTCTTAGATTCCCTAATTTATGAATTATTATCAAAGTTCTAAGTTTCCAAGTGCATAGATCCCTAAATTCTCAGCTGTCCAAATTTCTACTTCCCCAAATTCTCATCTCCCCAAATTTCTACTCTCCTAAATCCTCACCTCCCCAAATTTCTACTCTCCCAATTTCTCATCTCCCCAAATTTCTACTCCCTCAAATCCTCATCTCCCCAAATTTCTACTCTCCCAAATTCTCATCTCCCCAAATTTCTACTTCCTTAAATCCTCATCTCCCGAAATTTCTACTCTCCCAAATTCTCATCTCCCCAAATTTCTACTCTCCTAAATCCTCATCTCCCCAAATTTCTGCTCTCCCAAATTCTCATCTCCCCAAATTTCTACTCTCCTAAATCCTCACCTCCCCAAATTTCTACTCTCCCAATTTCTCATCTCCCCAAATTTCTACTCCCTCAAATCCTCATCTCCCCAAATTTCTACTCCCTTAAATCCCTACCTTCCCAAATCACCAAATTCTCAAATCCTCAAATTCCCATCTCCCCAAATTTCCAGCACCAACTGATCTCAAGTTCGCTAACGTCATCATCTATTTTCAGTGCGACGGAACACCCTTAGACTTAGCTCACGGCCCTTCACTCCAAGGCGTCGCGTTACTGAACATTCCTTTCACCCACGGAGGCTCAAATCTCTGGGGTGAGCACCACACGAGGCATCGTCTTGGCAAACGGAAGAAGCGACCCGACAAAGAACTGAGCACCAGTAGCTTTAACTCTGTAGATCTCACTGCTGCGATACAAGGTACATAATACTCGAACGGTTTCAAATTGGCAATAGAAAATGTCCTTATCTAATCAGAGGATCAATATGCTTGCAGACATTGGGGACAATCTGATAGAGGTAATTGGATTGGAGAACTGCTTGCACATGGGCCAAGTCAAAACTGGCCTTCGTCATTCTGGTAGGAGGTTAGCTCAATGTAGCAGCGTCACTATCACCACGAGTAAACGTTTTCCAATGCAGATCGATGGGGAACCATGGATGCAAGGCCCGTGCACTGTAAGTTCACTAGCAATTAGTGAAAGGTGGATCTGGTCTCAAAGGATAAATTCTTTAATTCATTAATAGAGTTTGTATTGTCAGATGAAATATATTTGCAAATGTTTATGTCACAAGTTTCATAAATTTCTAAAAGTCCAAATTGTCAGAAATTTTGTTCTGTATAGTTTGGAGCATTAATGTGAAAGGGATTGACATGAGGACCCTAAGAGCCTTGTTAAGCCGGAGGTCCTTGTTAGTGAACCTAAAGAACCAGACCCATGTAGACAAAAATCCTAACTGATCCTAATCCAAATCTAATCCACAATAGGAATACTAATTCTTGATCATACTCATTGCAGATTCACATAACGCATAAGAACCAGGTACCAATGCTGATGGCCCCTCCGCCAGAAAAGGGTCGCGGTTTCTTCCGTTTCTTGAGGAGGTGAACTCGCTCTAAAGACGAAATCGAGGAATAAACCTCGGTTTTACCTATCCAAACCTAGTCCCGGTTTAACCTTCTCTTGATTAAAGACGGAAGCGAAAGCGTATCAGTTCGGTCGTACTTAACGTAGCTTCAGTGCTCGTTCGAGCGCGATGAGCGAGCTTCAACGTAACTTAGGTATTCTTGTGTACAGTATTTTTTGAGAATAATAATAATGATAACGAAAAGAAAAAAAACGCATCGTTCGTCTTAGAGTTTAGGATCAGCGGTAGGCTCGTCGGTCTTCGTGCTTCGTAGCTCGATACGGGGATAATATTAATGGATCGTTTTTTGTATAACGCCGAAAAGCGACGACAAACTCTTTGTTCTCGAAATCCGTGGCTTGAGTCTACCGCTTTAAAATACGCAAGTACAAGCCTGTATCGCAGTCGAGCGTATAATTATACCGACACGAAGATTGTACGGTATCATGCAAAAGAGAATAATTTCGTAGGTTTATCTTCTTAGATAAATGTTCTTTGATCGTTATTTTGTTCTTCGCTATATCGCAAGGGTTTCGTTTCCTCAACACACGTAAAACACGACAGGATAACTCGAGGATAAACGGATCATTTGTCACGAAAACTTTTGGTTAAGATTGTCTGTTGTATGTTATTTTGTACGATATATCTTGATCTGTGTATCCTTGACTGGTCTCGCAAACCATTTACTTTTATAAAAATGAACGACGCAAATAATTCGATCCTCTTTTTTGCACGACTCCGTCCAACAATCAAAAATCTACTTTCCTCTCTTAACGTTAGGGTTTTTGTACGGAAGCTTAGTCGTAACCGCTTAGACGTAAATCACGTACGATTGGTTTATTTATTTATTTATTTATTCGTCCGAATTATTTATTTATTTGACGGCCGCCCGGAGCCGAGCAATATACGTTGTGAGCATATCAGTAGATACAGCGCGACTGTAAAATATTCTGTAAGGTTTAGTTCATGGTTTGTCTTTCGTATGAATCGCGAAAGAAGTAACGAACATTGTGCGTATACTTTCGATTATAATTAATTAAATCTCTATTTTATCGTTCATCGACCACTCGCTACAATTAACGATGAATTATTAAGCGTAGATCACGCATGTATTGTATCGAGTGCTAGAAGTAGGAATCAACTCGTAGATACACAAAGTATTGTGAAGTTTAATCGAAGTCGATTCAGCCAACGTGTTAAACACGATCAGTATTGCGCTATCGAGTTCACAGAATTTTTCGTAGGATTCTCTCGCTGTATTTAGCACGCATTTCATTATTAGCGAAGTTCAGTTCTTTTATTGTCAAATAATTAAATATCCACCCACATCCTGAAGCATTTTTCAAATTTTCCGTCCGACTATAGAAATAAACCATAGTACGCAATTATGTATTCGTATAAGTTGCCGCTTTATTTCGCATTTCGAAACGTCAATTTCGAGGAAGCTCATGTAGTAGCAATATCGAACAGCATGCTTCTGAGAAGATAATTTTTATCATCGCAGATGTCTGTTTCCTCTCATGCTTTTGTATAAAAGAAGTTCGTGTAGCGTACGATTCTGAGCAACATCCCGCAGGGACCATCACCATGTAACGATATAAAACGACCATATTTAGCCTTGTGTAATGTTTCAATTCAACCAGCGATTTTCTTTTTACTACATATCTTTCATCCTCACTAAACGAAACAATGTACTTGATAGAGAGAGCGTTTTAAAGCATTTCGAGTCAATATTTTCGAGCATGTATTTCGATCGTTTTACCATGTAGGAATTGATAACGATTTCTTCTCGTTTCCCTCGATATACGCATACTTCCCTTTAGCGATTATACGATCGACTATACATGATACATATAGTTGCTCTCGTTAGACGAATCGAAATATTACGCTTATGTATAATGATACAACCCGTGTTAAGGTCTTAATCGTTAAGTCGTTATCCATTAGCGTGAAAATCGGACGAGGTTGCATGACTTTGCGACTCCTGTAAATTATACTGGTCTCGAGAATTTAGGAATTTCAGGATTTGGGAATTTATGGATTTGAAAATGTGGAGATTCGAAAATTAGAAATTTGTAAATTTGTCAGAAAATGAGGGACCAGTATATTCCAGCATATTTGACCCACAACTGGTAAAAGTAAATATGCAGTCCGATAGACTGGTTACCAGTTTCGGGTTAATCGGTCGTGCTCCCTTCGTCGCGAATCTGTGAATACTATCGGCACAATAATTACAAATATTGTTTTTCTATTGGATTGGCGCAGTGTCTCAGTGTGCTTGTCATCGTATGACTTATGGTATTAAAAAAGACCCAATCAAAAAAAGATAGAAAGAAAATGCGAGAAACCGTAGGTTTTTAACCCTTGATGCAATGAACAAATTCTGTTCGAATTTTTAATCGATATACTTATAGGGTTATCTGCTTTGATGAAGTAAATAAAATACTTGTATTACAAAAACTTTAAATAATATAGACATTGAGATTTTTTCCACAAGTATTCATCTTTTTTTATAATATCGACTTTTCGGTATCTTGTGTTTTTCATTTACGAAGATTTGAACGGATTAAAACAGATCACCCTGTATATAGAAATAACGTATCAAAATCGACAATAGTGCTCGTCAATTATTCCTTTCTTTTAAAACCTGATAAATAGAAGTTGATGAAACATTATTTTCAATGACGAAAAAGTATCTTGGCGATCAAAGAAAGTAATTGAAAAGCGTAATAAAACACTGAGACAACAGAATAAAATACCTGGAAATATCGGTTTTATCAGTTCTGCGAATATTCGAATTTTTTCTACAACCCTGCTTTGAAATTTTTTATAATTCGCTTTTCAACCTTGTCTGAATTATACCTAGAATTTTGCATGAAAAAATAGGGGACCATTTTTTTCTTTTCTCAGCACTAATATTTCAGACCTTCAGTTTTGATTCATCTTACAATTTGATCGCCCGGGAAACTCGAGACAAATTAACGCAAAGGGTTGAAAATAAGTAAACGTTTCATCACAATAATTTCGAACACGAATTGTGATTTGTAGCCGTTAGGACGTTCGTATTGGATGAATTTACTGCCACTTTTATCTGGGTCTTACGTACGTTTGAGCACTACTGCCATTTTCCAAAAGATATCCATGTATAAGAAGAAAAAAAGCCTGTCTATTATAGTGTATTATACGAAATAAAGTGTACATTACGATACTCGATACTTTTTATTTAAATAATCCATATATTACTGACAATATCGTTAAATAAATAACAGATTTTTATAGCCTATCGATATCTTCATTGTTTAAACATCCACGCATCGCTCATCCATACAAACACTCTCAAATAAATTACAATCATGGATTACTCTTTCGAAATTAATATTATTTCAGATAGAAAAAAAAATATTAATATTCTCCGTTAAAATTAAAAAAAAAGTAATTAAATATATTGCAATTGAGACGCTTGGAAAATAAAAATTGTACAAAGCGCCACATAACGTGAAGCGTATAAAACATCGCCGGTACACTTCCGGTTCGTTTTTCTGACAAGTGGGTGATAGCTGCCTGACATTTCTCTTTTGATAATTTCAGTGAACTATGTCCGTGGAGCACATTATTCGCTCTTGTAAATGAAACGATAATACATGCGTCATTCATTAATATAGTTAACGCGTGACGAGAACGCATTCGCAATCCGGCAAATATATGCACCATAGGTAAGATCGACAAAGTATCATTTATCAGGCGTGCCACCGGCTGAGGTTAGAATAATCCGAATTCCGGTACGCTTATCGTAACAATTTCATTAACTTTGTCGTTTTTTAAGGATACGCAGTGGCTATCGGCAAAATGATCAAAACAGGAGAGGATAACCTAAGGCATCTTCACTATGAACAAACAGTGTAAGCACTCTTTGGAAATTTCTTCGTTACTCGATTGTACACTGTAAAAACTTTCATTGATAACTTTGATATACTTTTACGCAAAACTTTGGACATGTTTCGTTTACTAATGTATTAAACACGTGGGAAATAAAAACTCATAGCTCTTTACTGTTCTTGCAAATAACAAAGTTGTCTCGCAGCTTTTTGCATCTCAAGCAAGTGATTTATACAAAAGTTTATTGTTCTGTGTTTATAGAGAGTTTAGTGGACAAGAAGATCAACATTCGGTAGAATTATATAGTAATAATGTTACCATTGTTCCTTCACCCGGGGGACATAATCATGGTAGTTCAAAAGTAAAACTGAAAAACATTGTTGATTTTACCTGGGAACACAATTTTTATGCAGGACAATTACTGGCTGTTCATATGTCTGGAAAGTATTTAGCTTATGGAATAAAAGGTAATTTAGATTTAAGTTGAAATGTATATTTATTCTTCTTGGTTTTTACATTTACAACGTTCAAATTGTTTAGTTGGTAATGGAGGAGGTATGGTAAGGGTTGTATACAAAGAATTGGAACAAAGGGCACTATTGAGAGGAATGAGAGCAGCAATACAAGATCTGGCTTTTGCACATATTTCAAACGCAATTTTAGCATGTGTTGACTACTTGGGAAACCTTTTTATACACACCATTGAATCAACACCGTCTGAACTTTTGTGTAGTTTGTTGTTGCAAGTAGATGCAGAAGATATAACTGGTACCAGTCATCGTGTGATATGGTGTCCTTATATTCCGGAAGATGTGCCATCCGAGGATGATGGTTATTTGCCATCTGGAGATGAAATTTCAAAACTGTTAATTTTAACTCGTGGCTCCAAAGTAGAGTTGTGGTCAGTTAATACTGTTACATCAAGATTCAGATCAATAGAGGTGAATGTGTACCTTACTTACAGATTATAAAATCCATATAAAATGAACAAAATATCCAACTATTTGAATGATAGGCAACTGATCCAGCTGTTAAGGAAAATGGAGGCATGTTGGAAATTTATCAACATTCTGACACGATCATTGAAGCAACATTAAGTCCTGATGGCACCGCTTTAGCTACAGCTAGTTTTGATGGAGAGGTGAAGTTCTTTCAGGTTTATTTGCATACTATTGTTCATGGTAATCAAACACAACCACGTTGTTTACATCAATGGAGACCGCACGGTGGACGACCTATCTCTTGTTTATTTTTCCTAGATGATCATAAAACATACCATCCTGAGTAAGCAACCTTCCGATGGTGTTATTGAATTTTAAAACACGTTGAATATTACAATTATATTTCACTTTTGTTTTGTAGTGTTCAGTTTTGGCGATTTGCAGTAACTGGATGTGACAATAATACAGAATTAAAAATCTGGTCTTGTGAGTTATGGTCCTGTCTACAAACCATCAAATTTGCTCCTACACCTTCTACTGGTAAACTGCCAGTACTGAAAGCAGGCTTAGATCTTAGCGCTGGCTATCTTTTATTATCAGATATATACAATAAAGTTCTTTATATATTGAGTCTAACAAGAGACAGTAGAAAAACGTTAGCATCTGTAAGTACAATATCAGAGTTCCTCCTTCCGTATCCGATATTGAGTTTTGGAATTGTCGACGCTGGTTTGCGTAAAATACGTCCCACCGGCGAATCATTGGAAGATTTATGTCCTGGTGAAGAAGAAACGGAAGAACAACTTGTTATCCGGATGTACCTAGTCCAACCAAAGTCATTACAAGAGTGTCATATTGCTTTTAAACCTGCCTCACAAGTGAGTGGTAACTGCCTCATGGACACACTGACTCATGATTCATTGGACTATTCTGAAGATTTACCAGATATGGGAACTGTTAATCACAATGGAATTTCAGGAGAAAATTGTGAAGAAGATCGTTCTCTATCCGCTACTATCGAAGCAGCAACGAATCATAATGCTGGTTTGAATCTGATGACACCCGATGCATTTAGTTCGCCTGCTAAAAAAGAGAATAATGAATTAGATTCTCGTCCCGCTAGTCCTGAATTGGGCAAAGTATTGTCAGTTAGTCCTTCCCTTGCGCAAGCAGTGCAAGCGCTAAATGCGACAGATCCTCCGTTAGCTACAAGCGAATTAGAGGAACAGGCCCCTGCTAGTAGCGGCAGTAGTCCATCCAGGGAAGTAAGAGAAATTCTGTCGCTTACGAAACCAGACGAAGAACCTGAAACCGAAAATAAACCAGAAGCTACCAATGAAGCTGATGAAGATTGGCCTAATATTCCAATGGTTTTATTAAAAGATGTGAGCAGGCATGCGATGCAAGAGACTGATGGATTCACAAATGAAGAGGAGAAAAGGAAAAAATTAAAAGACGAATCGAAACCGACGACGCATACGACAGGGAATGCTGAAAATACCTGGCAGACAACAAATGACTTGAATACGCTTGAACAATTAAATAAATTAGAATCCATTTTAGAAACGATTCAAGATCAGCGGCAAGAATTAAGAGAATTACGTGCAGAAGTAACCAGATTAAGCCAGGAGACACCAATTTTGACGCGAGTAGAATCTGCTTTAGCAAGAGCTTCTCAACAACTAAATGCAACGTTAGAACAAACATTGTATGGTCAAATGGCCCGACAGCACGAGTTCCTTGATACGCTTGAAGCAACCATCAAAGATAAAATTGAAACCACTTTACCGCGTGTCGTCGAAAATACAGTAGAACCATTAAAACATCAACTTAGATTAGACTCTGCTCGAATGGATGAACTTTTGAAAGAAAATTTAACTGAACTGATCAACAGTGCTCAGGTAAAAGACACACTCGCTTTGACAGCTGCGAATGCAGCGAAGCCAGCATTAGATGCAGCGTTTAAGGAAGCCTTTACGAACGTTCTTTTACCTGGCATGGAAAAAGCGTGTCAAACGATGTTTAAACAAGTGCAAGATGCGTTTATTAGGGGTACTCGTGAATGTAAGATATTCTGATACGTTGTCAACAATATTGTAATGGGACATTTTTATAGAATATTTTTTTCTTCCATAGATCTTCAAAATGTTGATGCGATTGCGAATAAACAGTATCAACAACGAAGTGAGAAACAAAGCGAAGCATTATCCGCGTTAGTTCGTGAAGAGTTGCAAACAGAAATGAACAGAGGTTTAACTGCTTTGCATGATGGGACGATACGTACTATTCGTGATGCCATTAGAGATAATTTAAATCAACAACTTACTGAAATTTCAAATGCACGGTAAGTAAAACATGTGGATCATAATGTATTTAATATAAATAGAACTTACGGCATTTATAATAAATAAAATTTATTTGGTTTATAGTTCACGTGCTACAACACCTGCTATACCTGTACCTGCAGTCGCCGATGCTCAGGCTCGAGTTATGTCTTTGCTTCAAAGAGGACAGTTAAATGCTGCCTTTCAACAAGCTTTAAGTGCTAGTGATTTAGGTTTGGTAGTATTAGTCTGTGAAAAAACAGAACCTGCCAGAGTATTTCCTTCTCCTGTAGGACAAGGTCAAGGTTCAAGATGTATCTTACCACAACCTGTAATTCTTTCACTTGTACAGCAATTATCTGCGGATCTAGGCCACCGTACTGAACTTAAGCACAGGTAATAAATCATATCCTATAAGTATGTAATTGCATTTTGGAAAATTTTGATTGTTATTTAAAATTTATTAACAGGTGGCTTGAAGAGGCAATATTAAATTTAGATCCTACTGATCCAGTAACACGAGAACATATGGGTACTATATTAATAACTTTACAAAACCAATTGGCGGCTTTTATAGCAGCTAATCCAAATCACAGCTCTATTCGACGTATGAAAATGTTAGCTATGGCCGCCCGAGCACTGTTAAATCAACATCCTTGATGTCAAATGCGTATGGAATAGAAAGAACACATTGATAAAGTAACGTCAGATTTTATATATGTTTTGTTTAAAAAAAAATGATTTAGTCTTCAAAGAAATATCGACCCTATCTACGTGTTTAAGACTGGATGTAATTCTCACAGAATATGAAAAAGTACTATATTTATCATTAGCAGTTTTACCTAATTTATCGAAATTTACTCCCATAACATCGTTATTATGAACATTTTTTATATTATTTTTCCGAAGTTAAATTCATATAATATTCTTACATACAGAACAAATTTTAAAAATAGTATTTTCACGTGTAAATTAGTGTTTAAAGTATACTTTCTTAATTCTTCTAAATGTTGACTTTGTATTAAAGAATCTATTAATAATGCATTTTATGACATATTGTATAATACACATTAAACTTTTCATACACATGAAGATGGAATAGTACTAAAATTTTAATTAGATCTTCCAATTTCAATTTGTAAGCTTTAACGACTCCCTTAAGAGAGAAAATTTTTTCCTTTAATTTTGTGTTACAGTACTACGTATATTTTGAAGTATTTCTATCCAATGTTACTTTATTTTACTTCTATTTCATGCATAGTTTCTCCTACCCTAGTATACCTTTAACTATAATGTAATAAAGCAAGATATTCTATATTTCTTACTATGAAAAATAAATACTTTAAAATTAATAATAAGTTGTATGTCGAATTTTATAACGTGCATAATTCTAAATTGTAAGTTTTTATGCACCTAATTTATTATATGTATAGTACTATGTCTGAACATATTTAATTAAGACTTACCCTTTATTTAAATATTACTTTATGTCATATGATATATCTATATTTACAAAACAAAAGAATGTAAATAATATGAAGTTTTACATGCACTTATATTCCTTTTATGTTTGGTATGTTTCTTTTTTTTTTTTTTTTTTGACAGAAAATTTTAAAGTTCCTAATTCCAAATTTACGACGTGTTCATTATATGACTGGATACTATAGTAAAAATGTAATATATTTAAAGAGTATATATCTTCCTTAAAAACGGCGATTCTATTTACGTATTTTTCTTACCTTGTTAAATGTATTTGATACCATTTTTCATAATGTAAGGGAATATGTAAAGAATCAAATGTTATAAAATTTTGTAAACAATTTTATAATGAACACTTCGTAAATATAAAAAACATTAACACATATGCCAGTAGATACAAATAGGCTTATATAAGTAAATCACAATATAACTACTTTAATTTTATCTACTGAAAACAGACAACTGTATCATAAATAAAAGTAAGATTTATTTGCAAAAATTTTAATACTTGGTTTATATACAAACTTTTTTACAAAACATATAGATATATTAATTATTTTATTTTTTTTCTACTTGCTTAGGTTTCATTTCAGATATTAATGCCTCTTTGATGTGTGTTGCTATTTTCATTCTCTTTCTTTTTTTAACTTTTCCAGATTTTTTCTCTGTAATATTTTTTGCAACTTCCGTTTGTGGTTTCTTTTTTTTCTTCAAACAACTGAGTGGATTTGGACCACCTTTCCTTTTTTTCTTTTTTAATCTTACTTCTGTTTGTTCTGCTATGCCAGCTGCTTCTTTTAATGTTTTTATATTTTCTTTTTCCCATACACTCATTCCTAAACTCTTATGAACTTTTTCTGCATATTCACGGTTTGCTTGTGAAGGTGCCTCCAAAGTTGGTGCTTTACCATGTAAATATAATATTGGGACACCTGGAACTTTCCTCAAAATATCTTGTAATTCTCTATCTTGAGTAGCTATAATATACCTAAATACATCAAAGAAATATAAATCATGCATGCCTTGTCTTGACTTCTGTCATATAAATGAGTGTTTTATATACCTAGATGAATTATTTTTTTTAACCATCGTCTGCAAACATTTCATACCACTTAGTGGCTGTTTTTCGTGTCCACATTTATGTATCGGATATTGTTTAACTATTTGTGTTGCAGCACTAACTCCCTTCGAAAACGAACCTAATTTTTCTGTTTCCAAAATGATACATGGTGTAGTTAACAACTTTATTTCTGATTGAAAATATTTTGCTAACTGATCCTGTATGTTAAATTTACTCTGAAAAAGGGCATAATAGGTAATACATATTGTTGGATACATTTCATCTTATAAAAATGAAATATAAGTATATATTTTGATTAAAGAAACTTAAATTTAAACAAACCTCTAACGCAGCAAATGCAAAAGTACCATCAATAAGAATTTGAAACGGTGGTCTAAATTTAAAATTATTGATAAAAAATCCCAAATTTTTTCTTGCTTTTTTTTGTCGTGCTGTCTTCATATTCTTCTTGTTTAATACAAGGAAAAATTCAAGATTCTATAATCCTATACAGTGTTTATTACAATCATGTTTATAATAACCTCTAAACATACTTTAAGGTGGGTTTGCACTTGAACCATAGGGACATATTTCCATTAGATATCGTTATCCCCAGGGAAGTCAGATTTCAGTTTCTTTTATTTGTAAGAGAACAAATGTTGGTAATAGTTGTTCTCAATACGTGTTGTTATTACTACTTGTGGAACGTCAAAGAACAATCTGTATTGTGAATACATTACTACTAGAAACATTAAAAAAAAAAGTCATTGACAAAATATATGTGAATGACAAAATATATGAGTAAAGACGCTTTGTAAAATAGTGTTCTGGATCTATAGAGTATTATTATTAATTAAATTATTAAACAATAGGTACAAATTATAATTTTCATCGATTTCTTACGAGTTATTATGCAAAGGTGTACATAAATGTTATTATACTCCGAAAACATTGGATTCCCGACATTAATTACACAAAACATAAAATGTTATACGGAAAATTATTAAACAGCCTACATTGATATTTTCTTCAAATAATTATGATTTTATAATAAATACGTTCATTTTTTAATAATTCAGTTTTTTATAAGTGTTACTATAATTATGGCAACTAAAATGAAAGATAATCTAATAAATGTAAATGAGAAAGAAAATGGAAATTCGCGTGCTGTATTTTATAAAAAACCTATTAAAAGAGACAATTATAACCTGGATATAGACAACATTGATACACCTCAGGAAATAAGACGTCAGAGATTATTACAATTTCAGAAAAAGCAAGTATAATGTTATGTTACTTTTATATTCCATGGAAAATTATAGAAGCAATAATAATATTATTGCTTATCAGGTATAGGGAGATAGCATTCAATGTTGGAAGAGGAATATTAGATGGAGCTTTTAATTCTGATGAAGATGAATGCGAAGAGCATATGGAAGTTGATGAAAGTGACAAGAAAAGGTATTACTTACCTAAACGCAACAAATGTTATGCAAATCAGTTAATGATGTCTGAATGGATGTTAGAAGTACCTCAAGATTTTGTAGACAATTGGATTATGGTTCCTTGCCCTCAAGGAAAAAGGACTTTGCTAGTTGCATGTAAAGTATGTTGGAAAAAGATAATACAAGCATAAAGTACTTATTCATATTCTATCATATCCTTATATGTTGTAGGGTGTAACTAAAGCATATAATAAACGTGGCAATCGGCTTGGTAAATTTTACTCAGCACTTCCAGGTGGCAATCCTTCTGAACACAGAAGTAGTTGTACTATTATTGACTGCTTATGGTTAAAACAGCAAAAAGTGTATTGTGTTTTGGATGTTCTTGCCTGGTCTAATCAGTCTTTAATAAACTGTGATGTAAGACCAATTGAATATGTATTAATATTTGAATGTATATTCTAATTATTATAAATCTAACAAAAGGTATAATTTACTTTTAGACTGAATTTAGATTCTTCTGGTTAAAATCACAATTACAAGAAATAGAAGAGTTACAGAAAAGAGATACATACAGAAATACATTTCCAATATTGTCTCTACCCAACATCAGTTGTAATACTGATATAAGTTTAGCACTAGAAAATCTTTCAAACTTAAATCCTTTAGATGGCTTATTATTTTATCATCGTAGTGGACAATATACTAAAGGTCGTACTCCACTTGTAACATGGTTAAAACCTTTTATGTTATCTGAGGTACTGGGTATTTCAGTACCATTACTACTTGATGAAAAACCTGATGGTTATATAGATTTTAAATATTATATACTTAATAGTAGAGCAAAGAAAAGAAAAGAAGCATCAGAAACTCAAGTAAGTTTACCTTTTCCTTTAAAGGAATGTTAATTAAATAATTAAATTACTTATTAGTATTTGTTTACAGATGGATGTTACAGACGAAAATTGCTAAAATTTTGTTTTATTTGAATGAACGAGCTCCTAAAAGAAGTGAAATGTAATATATTAAAGATGTTGACAGTACTGTATTTTATAAACATAACTGTCATGTGTCATAAATTAATTGATAATAATACCTATAGATTGATATTTTATATTTTATATGCTCTGTGATACTTACAAAAATATTATATCAAATGTCAATAAAAACGTCATTACATATTGTATAAATTGTTATGTTACAATTAATAATACAATTATATAAAATGTTATACAACATGAGTCTCAAAATTTAAAGTATGAAACGTATCAACAGCTTTTTCATTTAAATATAATAGAACACGATTCATGGCATCAGTAGTCATTACTTTCATCTGAAAGTTAAAACAATATTCTAAAAATAAAGAAACAAAAATATATATAGAAAAAGATGAGTAACTCTGTTTACCTTATTTTCCATTATTGTAAGTACAGGAAGATGAATTTTGTATAATGTACACAATCCTAATTGTAAACCAGAAGATTCTTGTATTTGCGTATATAAAGCTTCACGAAACATTTCTATATGTTCTAGATTAAAAGAAATTTCTGCATCATTTTTATCCTTCATAATTCTAAAAAAAGTCAATGTGTATATAAAATAATTTAATATTCTTACATATACTGTACAATAAATTGTTAATATTTCATTTTTATTTAAAAAATTACAAACGTACACTTCTAAAAATTTTATTAAATCTAAAACACAACATTTTATTGCAATTGTATCTGAGTGTTCTGGTATTTTATAAACCATACAAATTTCATCTGTGCGTTTTGGATATTCTTCCTTACTAGTTGGGGTAATTATAATTGGAACAAGCCATATTAAATCATGTTCCTGAGCAGGCAATGCAATAATTATACAATCAAACATAAGATTTAATACATTATGAACAGTTCTCATAGTATTTCGTGTGCCACGACATAGTAAAAGAGGTAATCTTATAGAATTAGCGACAGTCAATTCACCTTTACTAGTTCTCCAAGATAAAAGTATCCCATTATAAATATTCTTTTCCACAGCAGTTTCATAACTGTTATTTTTAGCATATACATTAATCTGTAATTTTTTAATCAATGTACATGAAAAAGAATAAAGCTCAAGAATAAATTATATCAATTTTAAGTAAGCAATTGTTAAAAATTAAAACCTTGATTGGTAGTGGATCCAATGAACTAGGCCTTGATGTTATATTATCCATAACAGAAAATTGTGCACTATATGTAACATTTTCTTGTGCTAAATTGTTTGCAAGTTCTTCTCTTAATCGTTTTGCATATTGTTTTAAATGTACTTCATCTAAATGGAAATTGAATAAAGTAGACACTCCAAAAACATTCCATGTTTGATGCAACAGTTCTATAAAACATAAGTTCAATGAAATTTGAAGAACTTTAATGAATGAAGTATAAAGTTTACTTTTATATATAATATGAGAATTTTATAAGAGTACCATCTAATCCATCTATATCTGCATCTTCTTCTGCAGAAATGCAAGTTACACCTCCTAAACTGAATTGTTGTTTCCCTCTCGATCGAGGTGTATAATTTGTGTGACTAGTGTGTAACATATCTTCCATAGTATGGTCCATTTTTTAATAAAATAGTCAAATAAATAAAATAAAGTTTAAATTAAAAAATTAAATTACACGTCAGTAGGCTTTTCTGATACTGAAGGTGAAGAGTATAAAAGATTTGGAGTAAATGACAGCACTTTCAAAGTTCACGAAAGTTTGTTTCACTCTTGATTGAAACATGTGTACCAAAATATTCACTAGGGAAGTTTTCTATGAAAGATAATATTTGAAATATATTATTATTATGTATTTATATCTTTATTCCAGTTAATTAAGTGTAATGAAAGTAAAGTTGTTGGATATATTAATGTTTTAAATAATTAAAATATGAATATGAATTTAAAAAAATTGTCTGCATCAGTATATGTGGCATGAACTATATGCGTATGTTTGTGAATGTGAAGAAATTGAACATCAGTATGTGTTTATGTCATCTCCCGCGCAAAAACGTCGAGAGTTTGGCAACATAAATTTTCTCATTTTTTCAACAGTAAATAGTATTTTGACGTCTGAATGTTCGCTGTTAAAAGATTATGGGGACGATAGAAATTACATTTCCACCTGGAGGGCCAGGAAAAGTATTAAAATGGAGAGTCCGAATGGATACAATGGTTTCAGCGGGCAGAGTGTTGTTTTTATATCAAAACATTACCCCAGGAATTGATGATAACAAATGTCCTGAGAAAAAATATCGGGCCACAAAATTTGGTCGCGTTACAAAATTCTTGGTAAAAGAAGGAGATGTTGTTCAACCTGGGTACATATTTTTCTTAACCTTATGTTTATGAGATTTCCCAATTTTCAACATATCTACTTCATGAATTAAGTAGAATGTATGATTGCTTTATAATAAAACATATTAATTAGATTAATAATAACTTAGCTCAGAGTATATTGCTTCTAATGCATTATTATTTGTAAATCTACATAAGCACTTAGTGTTTCAGGCAAGTGGTAATGATGTTAGAAGGATGTCGACATCCTACTGTAATGAAGGATTTATGTGCAGAATGTGGAGTAGATTTAAGGGTTGAAGGAGTTGGGAAAGAAAATGAAAATATAAAAATATCGCAAGCTAGTGTACCTATGGTACATAGTGTACCAGAATTAAAAGTATGTCCAGAATTAGCTGAAAAAATAGGAAAAGAAGATGAACAGCGTCTTTTGAATGATCGCAAGTTAGCATTACTTGTTGATCTTGACCAAACAATTGTTCATACAACAAATGATAACATCCCTCCCAATATGAAGGTATATAATTCTAGGAGTAAAAAGAACATTGCCATTAATATTGATGATAACATCAACATTATTATTTTTTACAGGATGTTTATCATTACCAACTCTATGGTCCAAATTCTCCTTGGTATCATACTCGTTTAAGGCCTAACACTCGGCACTTTCTTTCGGAAATGAGTCGTTTATATGAATTGCATATTTGTACATTTGGAGCAAGAAACTATGCACATACTGTAGCATCATTATTGGATAAAGATGGAATTCTATTCTCTAACAGAATACTTTCAAGAGATGAATGTTTTGATCCTGCATCAAAAACAGCTAACCTTAAGTAAGATTATAACTTTTTTAATATGTACTTTTATGTACATAATATATGAATGAGTAATTTATTATAGGGCTTTATTTCCTTGCGGAGATGATTTAGTATGCATCATAGATGATCGAGAAGATGTATGGCAAGGATGTGGAAATTTAGTCCAAGTTAAGCCTTATCATTTTTTTCGTCATACTGGTGACATACATGCACCTCCAGGATTAGAGAAAAGTGATATGTCAGTTTTACCTGAATTACAAAGTACAAATGAACTTAATAATGATAATAATCCAACCGAATCAGGTATAAATGGTGCATCTGAAACGTTGAATGAAGAAATTGTAACAGATAATAATTGTAAAGAAGAAGCTCAAAAAGTGACTGAAAATAAAGAAAATGAAAATGAGTCTTCAGAAAAAAATGTAGAAAATACCAAAGATGACACGAAGACCAGTTCTGATCCAAACCCTAATACAAGTAATGAAAAGGAAGAAAATAAAATATTAGAAGAAACAAAAGAAAATGTAACACCAACTGAAATAACACAAGATACTAAAAGTGAAGATAAAACTTTGTCGGGTGAAAATAATATTATAGATGAAGACGATGATGATTATTTGTTATACTTGGAAGATATCCTCCGAAGGATTCATGCCGAATTTTATGCTACTAAAGAAAAAGAATCAGGTCGTTCATCGTTGAGAGATATTATTCCACGAGTTCGAGCACAAGTATTGAAAGGAGTACATATAACTTTTAGCGGATTAATACCTACTCATCAAAAAATTCATCAAAGTCGTGCATATAAAGTAGCCAGAGCGTTTGGAGCAGAAGTTTCACAAGTAATTATTTTAACTCTTTGTTCGAATCGATATTCATTATTTGTTCATATTTTAATAAGTTACTATGTGTTAGGAATTGACAGATAAAACTACCCATTTAGTTGCTATTAGACCCGGCACAGCTAAGGCTAATGCAGCTAAGAAGAATCTGAATATAAAAATTGTAAATCCAGACTGGCTTTGGACGTGTGCAGAACGTTGGGAACACGTTGATGAACGTTTATTTCCACTCACTGCAAAGGTATAGGTACTATATTAAACTAATCTAATGATGAATAAGAAGGAAGTTGATATTTTATTTTTATTTTTGATAACCAATATTCTCAGGGTCGTGCTTCTAGAATACCACCACCACATTGCAGCAGTCCAGAACGCATAGAAGAACAAGAGAAAAGTATGGAAGATAATTTTGCGGATAGTATTAACCCATTAATGTCATTTACACCAGAAGAAATAGAAATTATGGACAAAGAAGTTGAAGAAGATATGGATGATCAAGAAATGGATGTACCTGTTTTTGATGTAGAAGATGTAGAAGATACAGATGATATAGATGATATAGATGATACAGAAAATCGTGGTAATAGAGGTCGTCACCGGGAATCTGATTCTGATGATTATACACATCAAGAAGGTATGTGTAATTTATATATTTAATTTGTGTAATTAAAAATTCAAAAATCGATAAGTTTATTTTAATTTAGATTATCTAATAGAAAAGAACGTAGATGAACCAAGAAGGAAAAAGAAGAAGCTTTGTAATGAAAGTTCCGAAGACAATAGTTCGTCGAGTGAAAACGAAGACACTGTTGATGAAGATGACGATGACCCCGTAACACGGTTTAGAAGAGGAGAAAACTTACCTGATGATTTAGATTTAGGTGATAATTCGCAAGATTCAGTTGAGGATCTTGAAGTGATGGACAATGAAGACGAACGAGAGTGGAATGCAATGGGGGCAGCACTTGAAAGAGAATTTCTTTCTGAATAAATCATTGCAAGCTTGCTTTTTTTGCTTTCTTAAACGAATCAGATCATTACATTGATTGTATATTTAAAATTGATCGATTTTATTAGTTACTGATAATATTTAAAGTAATTTTATAAAAAGTTTGTAGAGTTGTAACTAAATAGTTTAATGTAATTTTATAAAGAGTTTCGAATAATAATGTATAAGATTAATGAGAAGAAATATAAAGCATTCGTATGCTTTAAAAAAGACTAATATCCTGTTTTGAATAAATTATAGTTTTACTAATATTGTTTTTGTCATTTTTGAATAAAATGTTCATTGTACATTGGAGCGTGTAAATAACGAATTAGTTTGTAAAATAATAAGACATTTTTATTTTTGAAATTTATATTTTAATTTAAGATCTATAGTTTACAAATAAATGCATAATATTTGTTTCAAAATATTCTTTTATTTATAAGTTGCTAGCAAACCTAATTAATAACTTATTAATTTATTTGGGGTCTATTGCATATGGATCATCATCATTTGGATCATACTTATACTTCATGTAAGTGGTTTTGCTTGTAATGTCTCGTACATTTTCAGTACGTCCTCTCTTTCCTGGATTAGTAAAATCAAATGTCGATGGTAATTTTCCAAATTCTTCAGCATCTTCCATTATAGTATCCCTAATTTGATAAAAATACAGAATTATTTTTCATTCAATTTCAGATAAATTCATAACAAATTAAGAGTTAAACATTCATACCTATATTTTCCAGCAACAACTTTTTTGCCGGTTATAGGATCAGTAACATCTCCTAATGGGTAAATAACATCAACCACCTAAAAGTATGATTAAAAAATATAAACATTACATCAAAGTTATGTTAATATATTAAAAAAATTAGTAACACTAGTTTTCATATAAACATGTACCTTATGGGTAATGATACGTGTTAATTTCTCTGGCAAATTCTGTATTAAAACCGTATCTCCAGTTTTGCAACGTTTTTCAGGGTCAGCAGCAAAAATAAATTTATGTTCAGTAAAATACTGCAACATGATAAATAAATTATTAACCTCAAATACGCATTGAGGATGGCATGCCACATTTACCTACCATGTTAATGTAATCATCAAATTTTAATTGACGTACTCTTATTTTAGCAACATTTTGTTTCCTTGAAGGTACACATACACCTAATAAATAGGTAAGTGTCTCCGTTTTACGTGCTATATTTGCCACTTTATTTACGCTCATGGCTAAAACCTACTTTTTCATTCTTCCATTGATTAGAGGCGCTGATTTTGAAAAATGATACACTTAGTGCCATCTAGCGTTAGTGTTTGGGAACTAACGAAGCAGCAGTTTCAAAAGTGTGTAGTTCACCCTGTTTGTTGAAGAGATGGCGCCACCAGTTTATATAATTTTTTATGAGTGATTTAGTTCCAAGTACTTTCCGCTAGATGGCGCATACAAATTTTTAATTTTATAACTAATATTTACTGTAGTTAATTTCAAATCCTGATAACGTAAAAAAGTGTAACAGAATATTATATCATAATCGAAAATCACAAAGTTGTAAAATTGATAATTAAATTCAACGCAAGGTAAAAATAAATTTCGTATAAATAAAAAAATGATCTATTTGCAATGAGACATCTGATGTATGAGAAGATAAAAAATATAGAAGAGTAGAAGGAAAGAAGATCCAAGAGTCAAACACAAGATATTTCAAAATGTATTACTTTTTGCTCGGCGCATTGCATTTATGTACACGTAAACATGTGTGCCTTTGGCATCTGCGAGTCGCGTTGTTATTGCGGGATGCAAAGGAGCAAGGGAATTCACGGGTGATGGCCTCGTGAATCGACGACGACCGAGCCGTCAGTCAGCCAGGAAATTCCATTGTAGGCGAAAAAATCGGGACAACTACTGTTCGGTTGTTGCCTCTATTGCAATGTATCTTGCTCCTATAAGTCTGCTATTTTTCTGAGCCAGCAGTTTATTGATTGTTGCACAACAGAAAATGGACGGAACGCACTTCAATGTTTCGCGTGATTTTTCACTGACCATTAAATTACTGCGTTGGACTTTATATAAGTTGGATTCTGTATAAGTTTGATTCTATATAAGTTAGATTCTATATAAGTTAGATTCTATATAAGTTAGATTCTATATAAACTTGATTCTATATAAGTGACTAATAGTGATAATGATAATAACGATAGCAACGATAATAATAAATATATTTAAAAAATATCTCTCTCGTTACTAAAATACACTATCATTATTTCTGCAAGTATACCTAAGTATAACCTAACCTAACCTAACCATACTCTTACATTATTTCTGAAAGTGCATCCTCGAATATAACCGACATTTATTTCGCAAAATTGGTTCAAGGGCAACGAAGATTAAACGAAAAAATAGCCGCAAAAATTCGAACGCGTAATATAGTTGTGAACGAAACATAAATTCTCACAGATTTAAAAATTGCCACGCGATTTATTGTCGTTGAATATTTATAATAAAAATCAACAGTGTACACTTAACGATACCATACGTAATTATACGATGCAAGTTTTCATTCGACTGGCTTCCCCATCAATTCTCGTTTTTCCAATGTGTACGTATCTGCATTTACATATAAATATGATCGCGTACCTTCTGCTATCCCATCAGCCGCAACATTGCGCGCTACGTGTATGAACAAAATGAATAAATTAAAGTTGTTCAGACATGTATCGCTCGCTGCGTAGACGATTCATATTAGGTACGTAGATACAAGAGATAACATGTATATTACTTCCAACTCTATTGGCAGTGCTTACTCGACAAAGCGTATTTCATATGAATGTGGAAAGACTGCGGAGAATATTTAAGGAAAGATTTCTTCGGAACGATAGGACAGAAAATGTAGGAATCTAAGGATTTAGGGATCTAGGAATTTAAGAATGCATGTCTTTATTATATATACACATATGTTTTTGTTGTGAAACTTAAAATAAATAAATTATATAAACATTAATAAAAATTTTCATGTAACTACGTATTTTCATGACCTAAAATTACAACGTTAAAACATGTACATTATTTTCGATCAACAAATATTTTCATGTTGATTGATGCGTCATTATGCATCCTGATCTTTCATGCGTGCAGATTCACGCGTAAACATACCGTGCTTTTTTTTAAAAGCACAGCTGTACAGAGGGGCAGTATATTTACACGTGTAATCGTTCCTTGATTTATGGTCGGGGTAGTAGGGGTCTTTGACACCCCACGATCCTCGTTGTATTGCGAATTAATCATCCGGAACAACGGACCTATTTTTTGCTACACCTTCTTTTGCAATTCCATCAAACTGCATTTAATTCTTAACAAGAGTTGACTTCAAGTCCATATATTTGAAAGCTGATGAAAAATTCTTGGAATATTCTTGAAGCATTTGTAGGCAATGATTTAGGCCCTCTTCCGGGAACAGATTTCATAGGATGATCTGTACGGGATTTAATGGTGTTGACGCACGCGAAACAAAATGTCACGGGACATTACGCTCTCTTCCGGTTCATCTGGCCGATAGCTCTGTCCATGCATGAACCACTGTCTCTTTTCGCTCCCCACCCATTTCCCTTCGCGTCTGTTTCCTGAACATGATCATTGGCCTTTGAAATCTATTTTCATTGTATGTAATAGCTTTTTCATGCTCGGGCTTCAATGCGACGAAGCACGCCAAATGCATCGTACGGTTATTGCGGTGCATTGATTCCTGAAAAATCCGCTACGTTAGTCTGATGCGTGATATGTATAGCATCGGACGGAAACTCGTCTTCGATGTGATCCATTTTCCAGATTGCAAGACAATATAAACCGAATGGTAGCTGAGTAAAATGCTTGTTTTCACTTTACCTTTTTCCCTGATAACGTGTGTCAGACATTCGCTTCTGCCTTCGATTTCAGATCGTTCCGTGGAGTGCTGGAAACTCCTAAACTTTTTTCTTGTAGAACCATTTTTGTTTACACTTTTTTTTAACTGACGGTTGATTAAGAAATTTTATTAATTTTTTATAACTGTTGACTTCATACAATTTTAAATTTAAATACAATTGTTGAACTGTTTTAACTTTTTGTTCTGTTATGTTTAAAATTTATTTTACGAATGGTTACATATGTATAATATATGTAACATATAGCATATGTAACATATAGCATATGCAACATATAACATATGTAACATATAGCATATGTAACATATAACATATGTAACATATAACATATGTGACATATAACACATGTAACATATAGCATATGTAACATATAACACATGTAACATATAACACATGTAACATATAGCATATGTAACATATAACACATGTAACATATAGCATATGTAACATATAACACATGTAACATATAACATATGTAATATATAGCATATGTAACATATAACACATGTAGCATATAGCATTTTTAACATATAACACATGTAACATATAACACATGTAACATATAACACATGTAACATATAACACATGTAACATATAACACATGTAACATATAACACATGTAACATATAACACATGTAACATATAACACATGTAACATATAACACATGTAACATATAACACATGTAACATATAACACATGTAACATATAACACATGTAACATATAACACATGTAACATATAACACATGTAACATATAACACATGTAACATATAGCATTTGTAACATATAACACATGTAACATATAGCATATGTAACATATAACACATGTAGCATATAGCATTTGTAACATATAACATATGTAACATATAACATATGTAACATATAGCATATGTAACATATAACACATGTAACATATAGCATATGTAACATATAACACATGTAACATATAACACATGTAACATATAACACATGTAACATATAACACATGTAACATATAACACATGTAACATATAACACATGTAACATATAACACATGTAACATATAACACATGTAACATATAACACATGTAACATATAACACATGTAACTATGTAACATATAACACATATGTAACATATAACATATAACATCACATTTTGTAACGATCAGCTAACAAGATTAATTTTGATAGATACCAGTAATTATAAATGCATTTCTACGTGTTTGAGTATGCAGGAAGTTCGCGCCCCAATATTCAAACGAGTTAAAGAGGGCGTGGTAAAACAAACGAGTGCGAAACTGCGGTCGACATGTCAAACATGATCGAGCGCAAAGTTTGAGAGATTAGTTTGTGTTCCAGCAAAGAAAAATACCGATTAAATTGAAGTTAACTTGTTAATTACCAGTTTGCAGACTGTAAAGTTGACAGTCTACCGCATTTCATCAACATAACATAATTCTTGCAAATATTTTAATAAAATTATTAAACATAAGAAGTTGTAATCGAGCTTATTTTGCGAGTGATAAACATCTTGCAATATAATAATCATTTTGTACATGTTATATCAAAATTGTATTAATTAGTTTTGAAATTAAAAAACGATTGCAATTTAATGATTACAATCCAACTATTCTAACGATGTATTAATATAATAATCAGTGGTAATAAATGTAGAGGGGTTATTTGACATAATAATGATAATAAAGCTATTAGCCAGCCACAACAAATCGCAACATTAATTGAACTACAGTTATTATCATTTGCATGCGAAAGTACTAGTAATTACAAACATACTGTATTACATTTATATATGCGCGGATAAAGATGGCGACATGAAGCGTTGCCGGAAATCGATATTGACCCCTTTGAATGATTATTCGACTCGTTTTATGTTGTAAATGACTCGTTATTTTGTACATTGTGTTCAAGTAAAAAAATAATTGCGTTAATAGCGTAAAGAAGAAGTCATAGTGAAAACTAAACGTAGGATCCCTGAAGAGCTTCGCAATCGGTGGTATCTTAGGCGAGTTTCTTAACAGACATTTTACCTGAGCGATTTTAACCCTTATCAACGTTTTATAGATGACTTGCCGCTGGGTCAGAAAAAGGCGAACGAGGAACAAAGGCAGAGCTTTTCCACGCAACCGACAGAATTCTTTCCTTCCACTTTCCTTTACCAACTCTTGGCCCTTTTTCCTGATCTCTGGCAAGGAGATATCGTCGCTTAGCCTTTTCCTGCCGGTATCCTCCCAAGGACCCCTCTCGGGGTTATTTCCGACCTACAAAGGTTTGTCTATGCCGCGGAGAGTAAGGCTCGAGTATTGAAGGATACGAATGCTTGCAGATGTTACTTTCGTGAAAAATACTTCGTTCA